CCTGTAAGGTTATAGTTAAATTAATAATTGAAGTATTTTATACAAATTGATCAAAAGTTATAGTTTTAAAATGATAATGGTTTACATACAACATATTAGACCTAATAAATTAAGTATAATATGTTAAAAGTTAAAAACAAACTTTATAAGTAGAAGAAAATATATTTTTTTAATGTTGAAATTTAGTTTATATATGATTAGACTTTAGGTTTGATATTTATTAACCTTATTAACCAACTTATAATAATTATTAGAAAGAAATTGAAAAGGCATGGAAGTTTCAAATGAATGTGGTGAAAGGAAAAAATACATGGGAGTTTTAAATGAATGTGCTTCAACAAAAAATGTGAGTTTTATAAGTATATAATGATACTGATAATGATATTTTAAATAATATCAAATATTTAAATTCACTATTTAAATAACAAATAAATATTCAAATTCAAATAAACACATTTAAATAATATATATCAGTTATCAAATAAATTTTCAAATTCAAACAAACATATTTAAATAATATTTATCAGTTATCAAATAAATATTCAGATTCAAATAAACATATTTAAATAATATTTATCCATTATCAAATAAATATTCAAATTCAAATAAACACATTTAAATAATATTTATCAATTTTCCAGATTAAAAAACAAATTAAATTAGGTATTTATCCATATTTACTAAACCTTCATATTTGAAAAATGGAAGAAAATCTGAAACCCTCATTCTGTCGAGCTCACGTCGTGAGCTCCTAAATCTCACGTTGTGAGCTACGACTAGGGTTTTAACCATTACGTAATTTTCAATTAATCTTCTATCATTCAATTTCAAACAAGTTATAAAGAAAATATGGACCTAGGGTGAAAGTAACCATGAACCAATGGCTCTGATACCACTGTTGGGTTTACGCATCAAATACACTCTAAAACTAGGTATCGGAAAAATCGAAACAACGATATACCTAAGTGTACATACATCCTATGGATATATGGATTCATACTAATTACATCAACCCTAGAAAGAATAAAATCAAAGAAGAAAACATACCTCTTATGTAGCCCTTGATCTCCATGCTTAAGATCTTGAACCTCCATGAAGTTGCTTGGATGAAAGGACCCAAACCAGAATCCCTCTAATGGTATCACACCTAATAACACCAAAGAGTGGAATAAAAATAATTGGGAGAAGGGTCAATTTCCCAAACCCAAAGAGGGTTAGAAACGTCCCTATATGAGGAGGAAAAAGGGTTGGCGAATACTTCAAACCAAGGTCCAAGGAGGAATGGAATCCCTAAGGCCCTATTTATAGCCTTGGATGCCTCCTAGGGTTTTATACTCCTTCCCATGTGGGATGGAGGCATAACCAAGAATATTTCACTCCTTTCCCATGTAAGGATGGAGTGAATTTCATCCAACCCTAATTCCATAAGGGTTCTAGAACATTCCTGATTAACCAACTATTGATTAATGAACATTCAACCCTTTAATTAATTAAATTGTTAATTAATTCCCATAATATATTTCCAAAATATAATTCTAATTAGTTTCTAATTAATTATTAACCATAATAATTGATAAACCAATTTCTTCTTTATTTATTCTACTCAATTTGGGTCTTGAGGGCAACCCAAAAGGACCCTGCTATTATTAGAAATATTACCAATAGTTAATGACCTTGGATACTATTCCAACAACAAGATGACATTTCACTGTGTAGCGATTATCAAAAATTCATTTAAATAAGTGTTTCATATTATATGAAAAAATATCAAGAGATTTCTTGGTTTGGAGTCAAGTGAAAGAATAAATAGAAAAGCATGGAGTATAAGCATTATTTTCAACGTGTGGAGAATAATCATGTGGTTTCTTTGGTATATGCCTAAAACTATTAGGCATGGACCCGTTTTGGTGGTGTTATAACAAGAAGCAATAAGAAGAGGGGTGGTTTTCATGGTGTTATAACACCCGTTAAGAGGAGAGAGATAGATAGGGATAATTTATGCAGCCAATTGATGATCTTGTTTCATCCGGTCATGGAGACAACATGATACAACAAGAAGGGGGGGGGGGTTTGATGTTATCACGACGTTATAGGCTGCCACATCAGTCTTAGCGGTGTTGTGGTAACCCATACCACTTGGTCTAAAAAAGTTGTAAACAATGGCATGGGTCTTACATGTCTAATATACAACGATCATAATAGAAAAAGAAACAGCTACAACATGGGTAGCTGTAACGGTGGTAGTTTGGTCGAACAGTAGAAAAACCAAAGTGACAACAGTAGCTCACTCTTTGATCTTTAGCAAGTCAGAAAAAGTTGAATGAATATTGGCTTATGTACAACTGTGATTATAAAATTGATGTGATAAGTCAAATAAGATATTGATGTCGAAAACTATTGGTTAAGAAGGAACAACTACAACAAGTTTGGTAAAAGCAATTGAATAGTTAGTCTTTGACTTTTGTGTGCATGTGAAAAGTGAAGCAACATCTCGTGAAAGCTATGTAATGTAGCATGGGTTTGTTGAACATTTGATCAAAGAAAGCACAATTCAAATGGCTTCCTTACATAGACATAGTTAAAGCTCATTGTTTACCAATTAATGGAAGTTAATATTATTAAAATAAAAAAATAATTAAAAAAATATTTAATTAGTTATTTTAATATAAAAAATAAAAAATAAATAATAATAAAAAAATAAAAAATAAAAAATAAAAATCAAATTTCAAATTATTAGTTAGTTTTGTTGTTCAAATTAAACTGTTTCTAATTGTTGTAATTATTTTCCTTCAATTCTTTATAAAAGAAATGTAAAAATAAATTTAACCAATATATATATATATATATATATATATATATATATATATATATATATATATATATATATATATATATATATATATATATATTCCTTTCTAGTTGTTAGATTTATTTCTTTTTAGCTTGTTTTAATTTTATCTTTTATATATGCGGTTTTTCTTGTTATGACTTAAAGATAAAAATACAATATAAGTGTTGTCCAGGACTTCTCAACAAAGATTTTTTAAGTGTATATTCCTTTTCAGCTTGAGAAATATTCGGGGGAAATTTTAATGTAACATATGGTGTTCAAACTATGTATCAACATTAAAACTTATTTACCCCTAAAACTCCTAACAATTATGAATTTATTGTGTGTTCAAAGTTCTCTGATTTTAGACAATAATTTAAAGTTAAACGATAGATATCATGAATGTTTGATCATGTGATGTTTTTAGATAGTTTCAAATGAGTATTGGTGACAGTCTACCTAATGTGTCAATACACATTTGGTTCAAAATTTTCAACTTCATTGCATCATTTTAATTAAACTAACCATCGATATATAATTTCAAACTTTTATCAGTGTGTGGTATTACTTAGTGAATCATTAAGTAGACCATCACCAAGACCCATTTGAAGAAAATCTGATCTTTTTTTTGTGAATTTTAAAGATTTGATCTGATCCACTCCTTATATACCATATTAGTTTATATGTAGAATAGATACAATCCATTAGAAGCTAATATAAAACAACAATGAGATATTTCAATGCCGTACTTGATAAAATTAAAAGTATAATTTAAAAAGGGAAAATGACTCTTGAGGGTAATTAACTTTTGCGTTTGTATTCATTTGGTCCCCCCCCCCCCCTTTTTTTTTTGTATTCAATATACCATCGAACTTGTTGTTTGCGTTCACGAAAACCCTTTTGACCGGCTTTTGACCTGTGATAGCCGGTCAAAGGGTTATGGTGAACACAAACAACAAGTTCGATGGTATATTGAGTACAAAAAAAAGGACCAAATGAGAACAAATGCAACAGTTGGTTACCCTCCTTATTCATTTTTCTTTTACTCATTTACAACAAATCCCACGTCATCCCCTACTGATATTAATAACTTTATGAGATTCATTCTTGCTTCTCTTCAAAATATAACCCACGAAAGAACATTATTCATACATGTACAACTTTGTAATGCACTTGAATATTTATTAGGGAAATCTTGACTAAGCAGATGCATTTCATGACTACATTTACATTTCCAATCAAATTATTTATCATATCATGGATTCTAAACAAGTCTACAAACGAGTGGAGTCACAAGTGCTGTGATTTTTGAGTTTACTTAGCTTTAAGATCGAATTCATGGGATAAGATACAACATCAATATGTACAATATCATGCTGCTTTTGTAGATACATCACCATAATATACCTTGAGATAAACGTTTATGCTGATAAATATACATCTCATACATAGTCATATCCTTTTGCAGAGAGGTGTTGACAGCTAACCACAATAAACATAATGTAGACCATGTTTTAATAAGGTTACCCCTTTGAAACGCTTTCATATACGTTATAGCCAAAGAAGGTTGCAATCTTTGATAATTTTGCAACTTTAATTTCATTTAAATTTTTGGAAAAAATAACTCAGGAGGGTAACTAACTGTTGAGTTCATTCTCATTTTTTTTTTTTTTTTTTTTTTTTTTTGGTACTCACTATACCATCGAACTTGTTATTTGTGTTCACCATAACCCTTTGACCGGCTATCACAGGTCAAAGGGTTATGGTGAACGCAAACAACAAGTTCGATGTATATTGAATACAAAAAAAAAAAAAAAAAAAAAAACCAAATGAGTACAAACGCAAAAGTTAATTACTCTCAAAAGTCATTTTCCCATTTAAAAACCTACTTTAGAATCAACATGTTGGAATCCGTATTTACACGACCAATTAAAGTCAAATACCTCAACCCAAAGATCAAACAATTTATCTAACATGATATATCCGAACACAATGCGAAGTGTAACTTATACATGACAAATAATTGGATATATATTCAATTCCCTTTATGTAGATCCAATTCTATTCATTTCATTTTCACTTTCTGCTATTCGTTCTGCCAAATGTCCCCAGTTTTGGATTTTGTTCGGACCGACTTGTTTCTTAAATTACTATATTACCCTCAGCCTTTATGTTATATCCTCCGCCATCACCCGGATCTCCGGTCTTTTTCAACGTGAGGTTAGGGCTTTAATCACACCCCAAAAGCCCGGAGCCGCCGCCTTCTTCGCCTCTATTGACATCGATATTCGCAGTCAGCCGTGAACTCGTAGCTCATCGTTTCTCCACAGTCACAAGGTAATCTTTACTTCCATGATATTGACAACTATTTTCATTTCTGTAACATTGAAATCCCATTTCTGTTGACGAATTAAACGAATTTGAAATCGATTAGTTAGTTCCATAGTTTCTTTCATTCGTCAGCGAATCAGTATTTCCCGTTCGTCTACGTATGATATATCAGTATTTGTTGAGTAGGGAATTGATCTCGGACAGTTGTGTCGTGCTTTCGTTCCTAGGGTTGAAAATTAATGTTCGACAGAGAGGATTATTGATCTTATGTGTACAAATTGATGCACTACTAGTAATTAATTAGGCGAAAAGAGCAAATAACGAAAGTTTAACATCACGAAGGATTTGCGATAAGAGTTGAGGTCATCACCACAATCAAATTGCAAACTGTTGAATTTTATTATGATGAGGAATTATACCAGTATATAGAGGACCTTAGAATATTTAAATTTCATGAATAGATCAAACATGGAAACAAAAGCAACAAAATAAAAGAGAAGTAAATTGTCTGTTATTGGTTTACCTTAGTTAATTACTAACAAAGTTATCCACAAAACGGTAGTTTTTCATTTATACAAATGCCTTCAGATAACATCTGTCACATTTGAACATCCTTCTTTGGATTCAACATACCATTGGCTTTGCTGTTAAATATTTTTGTCACTGCTTTGATACTAATCAATTTGCATAACTTGATTATGAAAAACTATTTTTAAACCAGGTTTTTACATATACTCAGAGGGAGTTGGTTGGATTGGATCCCAAAGATAAATGTGCTTGGAGTTATGAGATTATACCTTGCATGCTGTGATATTACTTCTACACATACTGTTGCAAAGGTAAAGGCAAGATGCCATATAAATATCTTTCAAGACTTAGAGGCTCATTCAGTCAGGGGATTCACAGAACCAATATAACTCTAGAAAGCACCCTTCAGGGCTCATTTGAAGTTCTTCTCTGCCATGGGAAAACTTTATTTGGTAACCCAAGATTCTACTCTGTACCATTTCTAGAACCTGGTGACCTAAATACCCTTCTTCAACACTATACTGCATGTGCTTCTCAATTGAACTTACAAACAAGTAAAAAGAACAACCTTTCTGTTCTTGGAGCTCTTTCAAGAACATTCTCAACCCCATCTGTATCTGGACCTTCATTTCAAGTTTGTGGCTATCACGCCGATAATCTGCTATCCAATCCTAATCATTTCCAATCTGTTATCACCAATCATCACATCCCCATGTCTCTTTCAATTTCAAGATCTTTACTAGGTGGTGGATCATTACACAACTTAGCTTCCACTCATGGACACCTCATCGATAATTCCAATCTTTCTTTTCCCACCCGAGGTTTCCATAGTTATCACAAGATCACCATGAATTCAAGAAACAACAAAGAATCAGAAAGCTTCTCTCTTTACGGATACTTCATCTACCATGTTGCCAAAACAAATGGCATCTCCAACCCGTTTCTTGATATCGACTGGAAAAGCTTCCACATCTCATCCCCAACTTTTCTAAATTCCGGAACTGCCCCTGATGTGTTCTCAGACAACAACTCTCTACGCCATGATCGGCTTACATCCTCCGATAGTGATGGGTAATTTTTCCTTTTTTCTTTTTTCTTACAATTGTTTAAAGAATATGAAAATAAAATAATCTCATGATTACAGAAAGGCGTTATCGGATAGATCAATGAAGCTGGTTTCTGGATCATGTTATCTACCCCACCCTGAGAAGGAGGAGACAGGTGGCGAAGATGCACATTTCATTTGCTCTGATGAACAAGCAATAGGGGTAGCAGATGGGGTAGGTGGGTGGGCCGACCTTGGTATTGATGCTGGGAAATACGCACGTGAACTTATGTCAAATTCAGTAAACGCAATACAAGATGAACCTAAAGGCTCTGTAGATCCCACTAGGGTTTTGGAAAAAGCTTACACCAACACTAAATCTAAAGGATCCTCAACTGCTTGCATTATCGCACTCACAAATCAGGTATAATTACTTAATTAGTAATTAATTATTCACTTTCCAATAATTAATTAATTAACATTGTTAACTTTATAGGGTCTTGATGCTATTAACTTGGGAGATAGTGGGTTTATGGTGGTGAGAGATGGATGTACTGTGTTTCGATCACCAGCACAACAACATGATTTTAATTTCACGTATCAGTTGGAGAACGGAAGTAATAGTGATTTACCAAGCTCTGGTCAGGTTTGTGATGTGAAAAGACGTATTTACCCTTTTTGACTGGTTTTGTATTTGATGATGCATGTATGATGTATCATGTTCATGCATTGCATGCAGGCATTTTCGATTCCGGTTGCTCCAGGGGATGTGATAATAGCGGGAACAGACGGGCTGTTTGACAACTTGTATAATAATGATATAACCGCGATTGTGGTGCACGCGGTTCGAGCGGGGTTGGACCCGCAGGTGACGGCTCAAAAGATAGCGGCTCTGGCACGGCAAAGAGCGATGGAAAGAGACAGACAGACGCCTTTTTCGGCTGCTGCTCAAGAAGCTGGGTATCGTTATTATGGTGGGAAGCTTGATGACATCACTGTTGTTGTCTCCTTCATCACCTCCTCTTCCAAAACTGTAAATCTCTCTCTCTTTCTCTTTCTCTTTTTCTTTCTTTCTCTTTCTCACACGTGTGTAAATTGGGATGTGAAGTTTGATGTTGTTTGTGATGGGTGTGCAGGATGAGTCATCGAGTTGTTGATGTTTCGTTGAAGGAGTTAATGAATGGATTCAGTGTTACATGGAGTGGTGGATAGTGATAGCTGTAAATAAAAAGAGTGATTAGTTATGTTGTTGAACAAGGGACAAGGAAGATGGGAATTGTTGTTCGTTTACGTCTTATAGTGTCTTCTAGGTTTTGGAATAAACTGGACGCTGACCTTTTTTGGGTGATTCATTTCTATTCAGATCTTTTTTCAACTTAAAAAAAAAAGTTATTTGGATTATAATGAATTGGGTTGAGATGTACAAAGCATTCATCAAATCTAACAATCTTTGACATCAGGATCTCAAAATAATGAGTTTGTATTTATCTTCTGTGTTCACGTATTATCTGATATGGATAGATCAAAACGACTGTATGATTCTGTCAAGGGTTGAGTATATATTTTTTCTAATGAAATATCACTTTGTCTGAGTTGGTGCCATTTTGGATTTCGGATATATGTAATCTGTGTAATGTCTCATTTGCGTCAAACATTTGCAATTCTATCGCCTATTAAATCCGAAATCTTTAGTGCTACCGTTTGTTTGATTAATTGATACCTTTTTATGGTGTTTCATAAATATTAATCTACTTGGGTTTTGTTAAGCTTTATGTGTTTTGCTACATAAAAAACACAATATTGTGGAGTCTGAATTTTTTTGTGTGTGTGTTTTTGTTTTTGACTTTGTACATGTTATTGTTATTTTGGACTCGAATTCTTGTTTAGGAAAACGTATGGAGTTTGAAATCTTGGATTTTTGAATTCTGTCACGTCTAAGCGTTTTGAAATGAAACTTCAATCCAAAATGCAATCTTTTGGATATGGTTGTTTTTGTGAAAATACCTATCAAATATTGTGGCAACTATTTTTCATGTGTAATGGCTTGTATAATAGGATGCAAATTTTGTAACACTTTCTGTCTTTGCCTTGTTTGTTTATAATTATTTAACTACTAGGTATTAGGGATGTTATTCGGGTCGGAACCGAACCGAACCCCGAATAAAGGTACTTATATGAACTGAAAACCAAACAAAATGAACATTATGGGTTCGACTCGGTTTGGGTATTATTCGGTTCGGTTCTGGTCCGAATAACCCAAATAACATGCACAAGATGATTAATGAACTGAATAACCCAAATAACATTTACTATGTGGTCATAAATATTGTATTTTTTATAACTTTTGTAGCTTATGATAAACGCGAATAACACGAAGTAAACTATTCTTGATATATAAAATGTAAAATCCAACTACCACAATCTTAAGATACAGTTATTAAGCAACATATAAGTATATAAGTTAAACATTAAACATTACGTATGTATTTTGGATAACGTTTGATAGAACACAAGACTGAATAAGTAATCACGCAAGGGGAAAAAGAATGTGACTTTTCATATTCGGTTCGGTCCATTTGGACCGAATAAGCCCTTATTCGGGTTACTCGGACCGAATAACCCGAAAACCGAATAAGCCTTATATAGATACCTGAAAACTGAATCGAATTGCTTATTCGGGTCTAATTCGGTTCGGTTCGGGTTTCCGGGTCAAATTCTCATCCATACTAGGTATATACCTGCGTGTTGATTCTGATTATTTGAATACTAGATGTGTGTCCGTGCGTTGCGCAAAAACACCTATGTAGCTGGAATCTTTACAAATATATGTTTTCTTAAGTATAACAATAACGTGTTAAATTTGATATAATAATTCGTATACTAAGTTTGTATAAAATATTGATTATTTAGAATTATATAAATATATATACATCTATTATAAATGAATAATCTTAATCGTTTGAATAATTTGTATTTGTGGATTACTTATTAATGAAAATAAAAAATAATATATGGTTTAATCGTTTGAATAACTTTTACTCGTGAATTAGCTTAACGTTTTAATTTATATCATTGTAATTATTTAAAACATTAAACATTGTTTTTTTTAAAGATAGTAATATAATCATTTATATAGACTTATTTTTAACGGTTGCTATTTTGCAAGTTATTTTAAGCTAATTATTTGAAAACTTTTAATGATTATAAAAATATATTTGGAAATATTTTAGTTAAATTGAGATTACAATTTAGTTTTTATATTTAACACTAAAATTTATTACTTTTAACCATTCACAAAATATTATTTGGGTTTTTTTTAATTGGAATAAAAATTTATATTTAAATTGACCATGTAATGTTATATTTAAATTAATAATTTAAGTATTTTATGCAAGCTGTTAAAAAGTTGTAGCTTTTAACTGATAACGTTTTACATAGAGCAACATTTTAAATCTAATAAATTAAGTATAATATGTTAAAAGTTAAAAAAATAATTTTATAAGTAGAAGTAAATATATTATTCTAATATCGAAATTTAGTTTATTTATGTAGATTTGATATTAATTTAACATTATTAACCAATTTATAATCATTATTAGAAAGACATTACAATTTATCACTTTTAACTATTTACAAAATATTTTTATGGGGTTTTTAAGTTGAATTGAAATTTATATTTAAGTTGACCACTGTAATGTTATATTTAAATTAACAATTTAAGTATTTTATCCAAACTTTTCAAAAGTTATAGCTTTAAAATGATAATGGTTTATATACAACAACATCCTAAAAATAATAAATTAAGTATAATATGTTAAAAGTTAAAGACATAACTTTATAAGTAAAAATAAAGATATTATTTTAGTATTGAAATTTAGTTTATATACGATTACACATTAGGTTATATATTATTTAACTTTATTAACTAATTTAGAATCATTATTAGAAAGAAATTGAAAAGTCATTAAAGTTTCAAGTGAATGGAAAAATGCTTCATTTATAAGTATATATATAGATATAGATATATAGACTAGGCGAATACTCAAGTGTTGCGTAGAAAACAAAAACATATATAAATCTTATAATAATTTGATATAAACAATGTTTGTTTTGAATTATATATATATATATATATATATATATATATATATATATATATATATATATATATATATATATATATATATATATATATATATATATATATATATATATATAGAGAGAGAGAGAGAGAGAAAGAGAGCTAGGTTCAAATGTTTCTAGCAACTATTGTGTTCCTAAATACACCAATCACAATTTAGCAAATAATTAAATAGTTAATTAAATAAAAAAGGTATTTTTGGGGTTTTGACACATTAAATTAATGATATCATTTAATTAAATCCCTTCAATTAAGGAAACAAAATAATTAGGTTTGACATAATCTCTCTCTATTATCTTACGTCTTCTTCACCTACAAAAGAAAAAGAAATCACAGATCTCGACTTCATAGTTTCACCATCATCTCCATTGCCGATCACCACTCGCACATACACACCAACACCAAATTCTTCAGTCTTCAAGGAATCAAAGGAATTCAAGAAACTATGCAGGTACTAAATAGTTGTAGGTTCGGATAGTACACCGGCTGCCCTCAATTTGAATCTTCTCCTATCATGTTTCATGGAGGATTTCGATTTTTTTGTAAGGTAGATTGTTCTTGATTTTCCATTTGTTGTTGATACTTGATTCTTCTTGATTTCCATTTGTTCTTGATACTTGATTGTTCTTGATTTTCCATTTGTTCTTGATACTTGTTTGATCAAGTCGGATATGGTTGAAGAAGTTCCTGTTATTTCAATTTCATAATCCTTTTTTCTCTTTAGATTGTTAGTTTTTTTAATGCATCTTAATGTCGATCATTCTGCTAGAATGGAATATCGAATTCTAATTGTGTCAGAATAGAATCTTGAATTCCTTGTCAACTTAAGCAGTGAATTACCGTAACGAATTCTGTCAAAATAGAATTGGTTTCCATTCTTGACATCCTAAATAATGAAACATTACATTCTTTTAGAATAATCTACATTGCAAGTTTAGGGATGATTGTTAATGTTGGTTTGTAGAAATTATAGTTATATTCTATTTGAAAGTATATCACATTCTATCAGAATTTATTGTTTTATTCTATTCAATACACTAAATTTTTTTATATTCAAAAGTTGATTATGTTTTCTTTGTGAATTTAGGTTTTAAAGAGGTTGTCATTAATGTGGAAAATAAAGAAAACACGTAGAACGATATTGTATTCTAGCAGAATGTATTCTGGCAGAATTTATAAATTGTTTATTAACAATAATATTCTTTCGAAATGTATTAGTGTTTTTGTTAGATTTTGCAATTTTTTTTTAACCATTTTTAGTTTTGATCTTTAATAATAAATGCAATCCTTAAACCATTATTAGTCATATTTTTTTTAGAATGAATATAATAATTGTTTATAATTTTTTCGTAACAGATGAATGAAAATAGTGATTCTTAAAAAATAAAATCAGTATTCTTTAGAAAATATTATTCTTAATAATATGTTGCATAATTCTTTGAACATGTTTAATATAAAAAGTATCTTGAATGAAACAATATTCTGCCAGAATAAAACCGCAAATTTATTTACTAGTTTATTGTTGACTATTTTCATTATGACAGAATAAAGTCGGTTATTATTAAAAATAATATTAAAATTTAATTAGAATTAATTTAAAAAATTAATTTTTTTAAAAAATAAAGGAATTAATGATCCCTTAAAATCTAAAAATTTCCTTTTTTAAAGTAGGTAATTGACCAAAATACTCTTTTGCTGAAATTTGTGTGATTATATTGTGACAACCCGATATTTCGAGTCATTGTAATGTAACACCAGTCAAATTTAGGTCAAAATATAACTTTCTTAAAATCTTATTTGGGTTAAAAAAAAAGTGGTAAGAATCGTAACAAGGTTTTCATACATATAAATTACACAAAAATCCAAGTTATAACGAAGAAGTTATAACCATTCTAAGATTCCCGAAAAACCGGCAATACGGATAGACGTAAAAACGCGAAGTTTCGATACAATAGTTTTTAGCCTTAAGTATCTAAATGAAAGTTGTAGATATCATTAAACCGTGAGCGTACATAAAAAGAACGTCAAAATCTGACTTCGAATGAGGAAGTTATGATTTTTCTAAGATCCGGATATAGCAGTAGACAACTAAAAACTCAAAATCGAGATCAAGAGACTTTTGGCCGAAACAACCTAAATAAGAATCGAATGTCTCGACCAAAGTAGCGCAACGGTAAAAAGTCTGGCAAAAACGTTCGAGATCCATTACCCACCTCTATTAAATAATAATAATAATAATAATAATAATAATAATAATAATAATAATAATAATAATAATAATAATAATAATGGAAATTAATAAATCAATTCATATTCCGTATCTATTATGTAGCTATTTTATTCCGTTAGTAATCCGTAGCTATTCGGTAGGTAATTACCTACAGAATACCTACACATGTTCTTCCATCGCTAATATGTGGTTATTCCTTAGGTATAGCTATGGAATAGCTATGTATTTATTTCCATTGCTATTTCGTAGTTATCACATTACTAAATTAAGACATTCCAATTCGTAGGTATTACATAGGTATTATCTACGGAAATATTCCGT